CGTGGCTTTGACTCGGATTCTCTTGGTGGTCAGTGATTGGTAGATTGAATCTGAAGGAATTAATTTGAGTGGCTGAAAAATGCTGCGGTTTTTATTTCTATGTAGTGAAACTCTTCACTGCACCATTTCAATCAGAGGTCTTATATGTTTTTCAACGACATGGCAATGGTTTGTTTCATATTCATAGCATGTTTACAATGCTAGGTTTATCAATAATTACTAAAATTTGTTGCTTCTACACGAAACTTGGTCTAGTTTCAGAAATCGTTTTTACAAATGCGTGCGATTTTCGAATGCTTCTTGTACATGAAGGTCTAAACCTCTGCAGTGGAGAATTATCGCAAAGCAACAACCATCCTCTCTTGATGATTCGTCTTCAGCTCCAAGTAAAACATGTATCAACAGTCGGTCAGTGGCAGCGCGCAGTGCCTGACTCATTTGCATTTGCTTCAACATCAGTGCCGGGTTGACGAGCCAGCTCCGAGACTACAATATGATATGATGCTAGTTAGCGGATCCGATATATCACTTGCTACCGTGTGCATGTAGTGAACACGCTGGCAGCCTGTCACGCTCAGTTCTCTAGCGACAGAAGCGGCAATGGCATCAAGTGAGGAATACGGCTTTGCAGCAGCATCGACATAGTCGAGAAACACTCGATTAAACGGTACCGTAAAGCAAGGCAGCTAGGGAAGTCGCTGTGTAAGTCCTCGTTACGCAACGTCAGAATGGATCGACCAGGGAGTAATTTCACGCAAGGGGCATGCGGCAAGCACCGGAATCGCCAGTGCTTGCCGGTGCCGGTGGCTCGATCAGGCCCTGCTGTCCAGTGGACAGTGTCCACACCGACGCGGCTGATTCCCGCTCGGCAAACAGTGTTTGCCAAACACGCAGAAGAACCTCGCTGACCACACATCCGATGTCATCGCTTTTCAGATCTCGGAGACAAGTGCATTCCCTCGGTTTACACCAACCAACACTATGAATTCACTGGCACGAATCATGCCATGCCGGTGCTTGTTCGCCGCTGCTATGCCAAGTTGGCACTGCCAACGCTCCTACGCTGCTCAGCGGCGCAGCCGGTGCCCGGGAAGGAGAGCCACGCCAAACAGGAGGGACCTTGCTTCGTCTGCCTTGGTTGACAAGGCCGAAGCAGCGCAGCGGAGACTTTGAAGCGGGACTCGTCTGCATTGGAGACTGCAGGACTGGCCAGCAAGCGCGGCCCGGAAATGGTGCCGTTCTCTTAACTTGTTTGACGCCGGTTTTTCGGCGTCGAAGACGGGCGGGACGCTATTGTCGAGTCGCGACGTGGCGCCTCTGCCCTTTGCGTTGCAGCCAT